CTCCCAAAGTGCTTGGATTATGGGGTGAGCCGCCGTGCCCAGCCCCTTCAACTTTTATTTTAAGTTCCAGGGTATGAGTATAGGATGTGCAGGTTTGTTAACTAGGTAAACGGGTGCCATGGTGGTTTGCTGCACAGATCAACCCATCACCTAGGTATCAAGCCCAGCATCCATTAGCTAATCTTCCTGATGCTCTCCCTCCCTGACCAGGCCCCAGTGTGTGTTGTTTCCCCCCTTGTGTCCATGTGTTCTCATCATTCAGCTCCTACTTATCAGTGAGAACATGCGGTGTTTGCTTTCCTGCTCCTGCAATGGCTTCCAGTTCCATCCATGTTCCTGCAAAGGACATGATCTCATTCTTTTTTATGACTGCAGGGGTATTATTGAAATATGCATAAAATACTCATGGGGAACAGAGGAGAAGTGACCTCAGGTTGCATACTGAGTGGATGGGAACATCCTTATCTCAGATAAGCATACTCAGACTGACTGACCCATGGGCTTCTCAAGCCCAGAAACCTACTCTGCTTGCAAAGGTAATTTGCAATGTGCTTACAAAACTATACCCTTAATAGACCCTGGATAAAGGCTGGAACAATGTCGCTGAAAAATAAATGTTACCAGCGACCTGGAGAGGAGGAATGGTGACAGCAGAGGAATGGAATGAGCTTGGAATTCAAAGACACACAACACCAAACAGCAACGTGAGGACTCCCCTAGTTCTTATTTTCATAGTAAAAGAAACAGCAGGCGCACCTGTAGATTCAGGTGAAGGTGCAGAAGGAGACTACGCAGCCATGGGTAACACCTTACAAGGAAATGGTCGTGTTATCTGTATAGTGGTGTCACTCTGGCTGAATGTCAATTAAAGTGATTACTTAAAAGCCATTCACCTGATAGGGCTGAGGGTCCCGGGGGTGAGAGGTGGGGAGGGGGTTCCTGCTCACCTTGAAATCCGAGCTCTGCACCAGGAAGCAGAGGTCAAAGGGCATCCCCTTCTGGAGGGGCATGTGCATCTTCCTCTCCTCAGGCCCCCAGCTTCCATTCTGCCTTGTGTTGCACACCACGTACCCTCCGTCTTCAAACCGAGGGTTGAAGTGGAAGGCAATGTCGTTTCCACTGAAGCCGGTCTGAAAGTTCACAGCAAACCTAGGCCCAGGAAAAGCAAACGGTCTTCTGTGGCATGGTTTATTGCCAGTGATAGGCACAGGAGCACCTGTGCTTTGCATTTGTCTGGATCTTGCACACAACCTGCATGGCAGAGACTGCTTGGTTGGCATCGTTTCTATTTCTCTAATTTGGATCTAATGTGTTTTTGTTTTAATTATTACATTTTGCCTTTACAGCATGATTTGCTAAAAATAAGTAGAAAATGGTTAAGGCAAAGTGCTGGTATTAGCAAACAAGAAGCATAGGTCTTTGAAAGTGATTACCAATTGATACCAAAGATGGACGTCATTAAGCATGCCTAGAAGAGACAGCCTCCCGTGCCAGTGGACACTTGTTGGAGGCCAGCACATGGAAAGAAGAGAACAAATGTAAAGAGCATGTGAAATTGGGGCTGGACACAGAGGCCAAGGTGGGTGGATCACTTGAGCCCAGGAGTTCGAGACCAGCCTGGGCAACATGGTGAAACCCCATCTCCATTAAAAATACAAAAAATGAGCTGGGCATGGTGGCACGCACCTGTAGTCCCAGCTACTCAGGAGGCTGAGGCAGGAGAATCGCTTGAACCCAGGAAGCAGAGGTTGCAGTAAGCCCAGATAGCACCACTGCACTCCAGCCTGGTGACAGGGCAAGACTCCATCTCAAAAAAAAAGAAAATTAATTAGCTGGGCATCATAGTGCACTCCTGTAGTCCCAGCTGTTCTGGAGGCTGAGATGGGAGGATTGCTCAAGCCCAGGAATTCGAGGCTGCAGTGAGCTACGATCATACCACTGCACTCCAGTCTGAAAAAAAGAAAAAAAGTCCCTGTCTCAAAAGAAAAAAATTAGTTAATTAAATGAATAAATGGAGAAGATTGCATGTGAAATATCCCTGCTTGTATTTTTTCCTTTGGAGTCCTTCAGCTTCATCCCTGTAGTCCTTTGGAAATTCCTGCCCCAAGGAAGGGAGAGGCAGAAAGCTCCTGAGAGGAGAGCGCCCTCTGAGGTAGGATCTGTCTGTTCCACAGGATGGGAGTGGGAAGCCCTCCTGGTGCTGGGAGGCGGGGGAGGCGGAGGGACAGGGAGAGAGGAAGGGGCGGAAGATCAGAGGCTTGGTCCTGATTCCCCTGGTTGGAGGGTTCAGGGGCATCAGGGGCCTCCCTGCCCTTGGCATCTCCTGGGGGCACTGCAGGCCCTCAGAGAAGTCCCATAGCAGGATGGCAATGGCGGAGGAGGTCACCAAGAATCTAGGTGGCCGAGCTGAGGTTGAACTGGGATCTGTGAGGCCCAGAAGGTCCTAAGGAGAGGTCCCCTGGGACCTCGGAGAGCGAGCCATGAGACCAGAGGCTCTTCTGTGGGCCCCGCAGACTTCAGCAGGCAGCCACCCATGGTCTCCCAGCAAGCCAGGAGAGAGCTGCACACCTCTGTGCCACCCGGTCAGGGTGCCTCAGCAGGGGGAAGCCAGACCTCCGTGAGGGTCGGGGGCCCTCCCAGCCCCTGAGAAGCCATGTAAGCTCCTCTTTGTTCCCAGACAGCCCACCTTGGGAGGGAGGAGGGGGTGGGAAACTGCCCTGATACAATGTTAGTATTTTAAAATTGACTTAGTAGTTTCAGAAAAGGCCTTGAAATCAAAAGAGACCAAATTACTTTTGGATGTCAATTTTCAGTATTTTCACATCAGCAGAAGGAGAGCTTCAGAGTGGATGAGAGCAGTGATGGGAAAATGAGGGGAGGTTTGATATTTGACTCTTAGTCACAGTGTGCAGGTTCAACCCAGACGTAATCCTCCAACTGCTGACCATCCCATCTCCCTCCTTAGACCGCCAGCTCCAGGGCCCATTCATCCCGGAGTCCAGGTTAATGGCGGCCCCTGGCTGCGAGTTGTTGCCTGCGGAGTGTTGCCCGGCAGCATGGGTTAGGGACGCATGGGCCTCCCCTGAGCCAGGCACAGTGAGCTTGGATGTTGTTGTCTGAACTAACCCAGGCTCCCAGGCAGTGGTTTACTAAGGGACAAGGCTGGGAGTGAAAGTTTCCATCATTACACACACACACCCTGCCACTGGGAGCTGAGAACAGTCCCATTGACAGTGATCTGAAGTCCGTCCTGGAGACCTCCTTGGATAGTTCCAGAAAAGGGGATGGCCTGCAGGGAGAAGGTGTGGGGCCATCAGTCAGGTGGCCGGCCTCCTGTTTGCTCCCCTCCAGCGCTAGTCAGTGGCCGGCCTGGGTGTGACAGCACCATGCAAGGGGATGGGGTGCGGCTACGACCAGTATATACGGAGTCTCAGCCCCACCGGTCTTAGGGTCCTGTGTGGAGGCAGACACAAATCCAATTAGTTACTCAGACAGTCTAAGCTTGTGATAAGGAGAAGCCTGGCCATGAGAGGACGCTGAGCTTGTGTTTGAGAGGGTCGAGGCGGTGGATGGCTGCATCAGGAACGCACCAGGGCTGAAGGCCTTCCTTCCAGGCAGGGAAGGAGGCAGGCGGATGCCCGGGCTGGTTAAGGAACTAGGTAGT